AATAAAATCACAAATGAGAGAGGAGAAATAACAACGAACACCACAGAAATACAAACAATTATAAGAGAATATTATGAAAAACTATATACCAACAAATTGGACAACCTGGAAGAAATGGATAAATTCCTAGAAACATATAAACTAAGAAAACTGAAACAGGAAGAAATAGAAAGTTTGAACTGATAATCAGCAAAGAAATTGAATCGGTAATAAAAAATAATCTCTGAACACACAAAAATCCAGAGCCAGATGGCTTAACAGGGGAATTCTACTAAACAGTTAAAGAAGAGTTAATACCTCTTCTTCTCAAACTATTCCCAAAAAGAAAAGTAAGGAACACTTCCAAATTCATTCTATGAGGTCAGCATTACCCTGACACCAAAAGCAGATAAAGACCCTCCACTATAAAAGAGAACTACAGGTCAATATTCCTGATGAACATGGATGCAAAAATTCTCAATAAAATACTAGCAAACTGAATTCAACAATACACTAAAAAAAAAAAAATCATTCACCATGATCATGTGGGATTTATTCCTGGATTACAATGCGGTTCAATGTTCACAAATCAATCAACATGATACACCACTTTTATAAAAGAAAGGGTAAGAACATATGAACATTCCAATAGATGGAGAAAAAGAATTTGACAAAGTACAACATCCATTCAAAAAACAAAAACAAAAACAAAAACAGACAAACAAACAAAAAAACCCTCAACAAATTAGGTTTAGAGGGAACATACCTCAACATAATAAAGGTCATATATGAAAAACTCATCACTAATATCATCCTCAATGGAGAAAAACTGAGAGATTTCCACAATGGCCAGGAACAAGACAAATATATCCAGTCTCACCACTCTTATTTAACATAGTACTGGATGTCCTAGCCATAGCAATCAGACAACAAAAAGAAATAGAAGGCATCCAAATTGCCAAGGAAGAAGTAAAACTAACACTATTTGCAGATGACATGATATTCTATATAGAAAACCCAAAAGACCCTACCAAAAAATTGCTAGAACTGATACACAAATTCAGTATGGAGGTTCCTCAAATAGTTAAAAATAGAACTACCCCTCAATCCAACAATTGCATTACTAGGTATTTACATGAAGAATACCAAAATACTAATTTGAAAGGATACATGCACCCTGATATTTATAGCAGCATTATCAACAATAGCCAAATTATGGAAAGAGACTGATGAATGGATAAAGAAGAAGTGGTATATATATATGGAAATTCAAATTAAAACTACAAAATATTATGGCACACCTATCACAGTAGCCAAATTAAAAAAAAATCTATATCTAATATCTATATATCTATTGTTAACTCCAAAATCAGTCAAGGATTTGGAGGAACTGAGTCACACATAGTTTTCTGGTAAGAATGTGAAAAGGTTTTGACAGTTTCTTCTAATACTAAAAATGGATTAGGCATGTATCCCACAGAAACTAAACTTACTTTTACACAGGACTTTGTGAATGATTATTTATACCAGCTTTATTTACAATAGCCCCAAACTTTAATCTACCCAAATGTACTTCAACAGAAGAATGGTTAAAGAAACCATGGTATTCTGTGGAATACTATTCTGCAATAAAAAACAAAACAAAACAAAAAAGTCTCGGTATGTGCAAAACTTATATAAATCCCAAGAAAATTAGTTTGAGTGGAAAAAAGTTTTGAATGCACTACTACATGATTACTTTTAAAGTTTATAAAATAATATAATTACAGAGATTGGTAATAGACTAGTTGTCAGTGGTTAAGGATGGGCAGAGGGTTAATAGGTGTGACTAAAAAGGAGAAGTATCAGGGAAACATGGGGTGAAGTTACAGTTAAATAGCTTGATTGTGGTGAAAATAACATTATGGTACAAATGTATTCAATTCTTGTATAGGGCTACACATGGATGCACACACACATATATGCACACACATGCATAAATGAATAAGTATATAACTAGTGAAATCTTAATATGCCCTAAGATTGTTTAAATGTCAATTGCCTGGTTTTGATATTGTACTATAGTATGCAAAATGTTGTTGCTGGGGGAATCTGGATGAATTGGTATTGAAACATTTTGTACATTTCTTTGGATTTCCTGTCAATCTATAATTATTTCAGAATAACGTCTTTTTTTTTTTATGAGCTGCAATCAAAATTACCATGCGGATTTTGCAGCAAACAAAATTGTATCTGAGTGTTCACATGCTCTCCACAGAATTTTTTTTTTTTTTAAAGATTTGTTTATTCATGGGACGCCTGGGTGGCTTGGTTGGTTGGGCCACTGCCTTCGGCTCAGGTCATGATCCTGGAGTCCCAGGATGGAGTCCCGCGTCGGGCTCCCTGCTCAGCGGGGGGTCTGCTTCTCCCTCTGACCCTCCTCCCTCTCATGCTCTCTGTCTCTCGTTCTCTCTCTCTCAAATAAATAAATAAAATCTAAAAAAAAAAAAGATTTGTTTATTCATTTCAGGATCAGAGAAAGGCAAGATGGTGGAGGAGTAGGGGACCCCGTTTCAACTGATCCCTTGAATTTAGCTGGATAGCTACCAAACCACTCTGAACACCCAAGAAATCAGCTTGAGATATAAGAATATGTATCTGGATCTCTACAAGCAGAAAAGCATGGCTTTTTGCGAGGTAGGAAGGGTGGAGTTGTGAATCTGCAGGGAGACATTGGAAGATTAACAGAAGGGGGAGGGAGCCTCCATAAACTGGAGTCTGAAAAGTGATATAACACCAGAGCACAAAATTGGAACCCTTAGAAATCTGCTCTAGGGAGCGACATCACTCTCCGAAAGGAGCTCTGGAAATGAAAAGGCAGAATTATAGATAGAACATTGTGGGCTCGGGGTAAGAGAAGCCTCAGAGCCAAAGGGGCTTCCTGGGCCAGCAGAGTGCCAGAGCAGGAGAGCCAGGAAGTGGCTTAAGGTCAGCGAGCCCAGGAAAGGTCTCTCAGTTCCAATCGCCATAAACTGCAAGCCGGCCAGTTGAGAATCGCTCTTCTGGGCAGCCTAAAAAAAAAAAATCAGGAGCCTGTGCCAGGGACTGGGCAAAACTTCTCAGAGTGGTAGTGGCCAGGAAAGGGCTCTATCATGATCCTGGAGTCCCTGGATCGAGTCCCGCATCGGGCTCCCTGCTCTGCAGGGAGTCTGCTTCTCCCTCCGATCCTCCCCCCTCTCATGTGCTCTCTCTCATTCTCTCTCTCTCAAATAAATAAATAAAATCTTAAAAAAAAAAAAAAAGAAAGAAAGAAAGGGCTCTAGATCAACGCCCAGACAAAACCCAGGAGCTGCGGGTACACTCAGAGCCTGGGCTGCTCATGCTTTTAGAAGCATAAAGGGCAGGGATTCTCCTGGGCCCCTGGGAAGACTTCTGAGAGAGTCACTGTGGGCGTGCACCATGGGAGGCTGTGGTTTTCCTCAGTACACACAGAAATGGAGACTGTTTGTCCTGGAGTGTACAGTGAAGAGAGCGGACTGCAATTTCTCTGCTCTGGGCCAGAGGTTTGGGTGTGGCCATTTTTGCTCTGACCCTTGGAAGAGGCTCAAAAAGCTGCCAGAGAGCAAAAGAACTGTAATCTGGTTCTCACTAAGCCCATCCCCCTGAGAGGGGGCAGGGCAACTCCACCCAAGCAGTGTTACCTGAGAAACGGGGAGACAGGCCCCTCTCCCAGAAGATAGGCTGGAAGAACAAGAGGACGACAACCCTATGGATCACATTAAAACTGCAAAAATCCAGGGGCACCTGGGTGGCTCAGTCATTAAGCATCTGCCTTCCGTTTGGGTCATGATTTCAGGGTCCTGGGATCGAGCCCTGCATTGGACTCCCTGCTCGGCGGGAAGCCTGCTTCTCCCTCTCCCACTCCCCCTGCTTGTGTTCCCTCTCTCACTGTGTCTCTCTCTGTCAAATAAATAAAATATTAAAAAAAAAAAGACTGTAAAAATCCCAATGCCAGGGGAAAATTGTATATTGAGCTCCAGGCGTTGTCTCATGGCTTATTTTTCAGATGATACTCTCTTTTTCTTTTTATTCTTTCTCTTACGTTTTTTCTGTTTTTCTTTTTACCTTTTTCTCATCTCAACCAGAGGTTTAGTATATCATAGTACCTTTTTACATCTATGTTTTTGTGCTTTTTCACACCTATATTTTTTATAGATATATGCTTTATTGTAGTCCTTTTTTCACTATTCACTTGTACTTTTTCACACCTATATTTTTACACACATATTTTTTGTGCTTTTTCACATGTATTTTTTTTATAGATATATGCTTCACTGTAGTCCTTTTTTCACTGTTCAATTTACCTTTTTATAAATACAAGTTTTACTTAGTAATTTTGAGAAGTAGTGTCCTCTAACAAACAGACCAAAATATACCCAGGAACAACTGAAACACCCTGCTTTGTCCACACTGAGAGATTATAGCCACCCTTCCCCTAGCCCTCCCTTTTTAAAATTTTTTAATTTAATAAATTTTATTCTTGTGTTTCATTTTGGCTTTGTTTTTTATTGGTGGTGGCTTCTGACCACTCCAGATTTTCCTAGGGTGCATTTTGCTTGGATCGTGTTTGATATATTGGACTCCACTCATTCACTCAACCATCCCTTGACAGAATGAGTAGGAGGAGGAACTCTCAACAAAGAAAAGAAACAGAGACAATGTCATCTGCCACAGAACTAATGGATATGGATATGGATATAAGCAAAATGTCAGCACTCCATTCACAGAATTTACATATGAGGAAATACAAGTGGCCATTTTACTGTCACTTAAGCTTAATGTGTTAGGGATCATATGAATTATTGCTTTTTGTCTACAGTTAGTGTGGCTAAACTATTTTTTAAAACTACTTGGCAAGGAAGAATTCAAATTTTCCCTATTTGCAGAAAACATGATACTCTATATAGAAAATCCAAAAAACTCCACAAAAAAAGCTAGAACTAATACATGAATTCAGTAAATTTGTAGGATATAGAATCAATATGCACAAACCTGTTGCATTTCTATACACCAATAATGAAACTGCAGAAAAAGAAATGAAAGAATCACTTCCACTTGCAATTGCACCAAAAACAGTAAGACACCTATGCATAAACCTAAGTAAAGAGGTAAAAGATCTGTAATCTGACAACTATAGAGCATTTATGAAAAAAAAATTGAAGACGACACAAAGAAATGGAAAGGCATTCCATGCTCATGGATTGGAAGAACAAACATTGTTAAAATGTCTACACTACCCAAAACAGTTTACACATTTAATGCAATCTCTATCAAAATACCACTATCGTTTTTCAAGGAGCTAGAATAAACAATCCTAAAATCTGTATGGAACCACAAAAGACCACTAATAGCCAAAGCAATTCTGAAAAAGAAAAACAAAACTAGAGACATCACGATTCTAGATTTCAAGCTATATTACAAAACTGTTTTGATCAAGACAGTATTGTAATGGCGCACAAACAGATATGTAGATCAATGGAAAAGAATAGAGAACCCTGAAATGAACCCACAACTATATGGTAAACTAATCTTCTACAAATAAGGAAAGAATATCCAATGGAATAAAGATAGTCCCGCTCTTTCTTTCCATGCCGATAGCACTCTTGCAAACGTGGTGAATGATCCTAAAACCCGCTGGACTTTCTGCAAGAAGTGTGGCAAGCACCAGCCCCACAAAGTGACACAGTACAAGAAGGGCAAAGATTCTCTTTATGCCCAGGGAAAGCGGCGTTATGACAGGAAGCAGAGTGGCTATGGTGGGCAGACTAAGCCAATTTTCTGGAAAAAGGCTAAAACTACAAAGAAGATTGTGCTGAGGCTTGAAAGTGTTGAGCCCAATTGCAGATCTAAGAGAATGCTGGCTATTAAGAGATGCAAGCATTTTGAACTGGGAGGAGATAAGAAGAGAAAGGGCCAAGTGATCCAGTTCTAAGCTTCATATTTTATTAATATTATGAAGACAATAAAATCTTGAGGTTATGTTCAAAAAAAAAAAAAAGATAGTCCCTTCAACAAATGGTGTTGGGAAAACTGGACAGCAACATTCAGAAGAATGAATCTGGACAAATTTCTTATACTATACACAAAAATAAATTCAAAATGTTTGAAAGACCTAAATGTGAGACAAGACACCATCAAAATCCAGAGAACACCTCTTTGATCTCAGCTGTAGTAACTTCTTACTAGACACATCTCTGGAGGCCAGGGAAACAAAAGCAAAAATGCACTTTGGGGATTTCATCAAGATGAAAAGCTTCTGCACAGCAAAGGAAACAATCAACAAAAGTAAAAGGCAGCCTATGGAATGGTAGAAGATATTTGCAAATGGCATATCTGACAAAGGGTTAATATCCAAAACTTATAAAGAACTTCTCAAACTCAATACCTAAAAAAAACAAATAACCCAGTTAAGAAATAGGCAGAAGACATCCTAATGGCTAACAGACACATGAAAAGATGCTCAAATCAGTCATCATCAGGGAAATGCAAATCAAAACTATGATGAGATACCACCTCACACCTGTCAAAATGGCTAAAATTATCCACACAAGAAACAACCGGTTTTGGTGAGGATGCAGAGAAAGAGGAACCCTCTTACACTGTTACTGGGAATGCAAACTGATGCAGCCAGCCTGGAAAAGTTTGGAGGTTCTTCAAAAAGTTAAAAATAGAAATTCCCTATGATTTTTGGAGAACAACCTGAGGTTTGATGGAGGGACGTGGGTGGGGGATGGGGTAGATGGCTGATGGGTATTAAAGAGGGCACTTGTTGGGGCACCTGGGTGACTCAGTTGGTTGAGCATCTGCCTTTGGTTCAGGTTGTGATCCCAGGGTCCTGGGATCGAGCTCCATGTCAGGCTTCTAGCTCAGTGGGGATCCTGCTTCTCCCTCTCCCCACTGCTTGTGCTCTCCCTTGCTATCTTTCTTTCTCTATCCCCAATAAATAAATAAAATCTTAAAAAAATAAAGAGGGCACTTGTTGAAATGAGCACTGGCTGTTGTATGTAAATGATGAATCACTGAATTCTACTCCAGAAACTAATACTGCACTGTATCTTACTTAACTAAAATTTAAATTAAAAAGGTAAATAAAATAGTACTACTTTATTAAGGTATGATTGGTATGTAAAAAAGCTGCATATATTCAATGTTTACATCTTTATGAGTCTGAAGATAAGTATACAGCCATGAAACCAACATCATCATCAAGACCATAGACATCACATCACTTTCCAAAGTGTCCTCCCACCTTCTTTATTATTACTTTTTTTGGGGTAAGAACAGTTAACAAGATCTACACACCTAGAAAAAATTCAGTATACATTACAATATTGATAGCTATAGGCACTATGGTGTGTAATAGATCTCCAGTTTTTATTTTTCTTACATAAATGGTATTTCTTACATTTTGACAATCACTTCCCCAATTCCCACTCTTCCCAAGCTCCTGCAATCACCACTTTATACTTATGTGAGTCTAACTATTTTAGATTCTACATGTAAGTGAGATAATACAGTAATTGCTTTTTGTGTGTGTGACTGATTTTACTTAGTATATTGTCTTCCAGGTAAATCCATGTAGCCACATATGGCAGGATTTTCTTCTTTTGTAATACTCTATTGTATGCAGATATCACATTTTCTTTATCTATTCATCTGACAATAGACATTTAGATTGCTTCCATATCCTCATTGTTGTGAATGATGCTGCAGTGCAGGAGACTGCAGGAAGCTCTTTGAGATGCTGATTTCAATCCTTTAGAATATACATTCAGAAGTAGGATCACTGAATCATATGGTAATCTTATTTTTAATTTTGTGAGAAATTTCCACACTACATTCCATAATGGTTGTGCCAATTTACATTCCCTTAGACAGTGTACCAGAGTTCTTTTTCCTCCACATCCTCATCAATACTTACTTAAAAAAAAAAAAAATAGCCATCCTATCAGCTGTGAGGCGAGATGTCACTGTTGTTTTACTTTACATTTCCCTGATAATTAGTAATGTTGAATGCAGCTTCGTGCACCAGTTGGACATCTGTGGAGCTTCACTAGAAAATATATACCCAGGTCATTGACCCATTTTTAATCATTATATGTTATGTTGTTATTCAATTGTAGGAGCTACTAATATATTTTAGATATTAACTCCTTATCAGATATATGGTTTGTAAATATTTTCTCCCATTCCATAGATTAGCTTTTCATTTCATTGATTGTTGCCTATGCTGTACAGAAATTTTATAGTTTGATGTCATCCCACATTTATTTTTACTATTGTCACCTGTGCTTTATAATCACTGATATACTCATTGCCAAGATTATATCAAAGACACTTTTCTGTTTTCTTCTAATAATTTAAGACTTTCAGATCTTATTTTTATGTCTCTAATCTATTTTTAGTTGAATTTTGTGTATGGTGTAACAATGCATATAGTGAAGCTCTTTTTTTTTTTTTTCCTTAATCCATTCAGCCACTGTATGTCACTTGATTGGAGAATTTAATCCATTTACATTTAAAGTAATTATTGATAGGTTAAGACTTAATATTACCGATTTGTTAATTGTTTTCTGACTCTTCATTTCTTTTGTTCTTTTGTTCTTTTCACTCTCTTCCTTTGCGATTTGAAAATGTGTTAATGTGGTATGCTCTGATACTTTTGTCTTTATCTTTTTTTGTATCTACATGTTATTCCTTTGTGACTCTTAAGAGGTTTACATAAAATATTTTGTACTTATAACAGTCTATTTCAACGTAACAGCTTAAATTTGTATACAAAACTCTACATTTTATTTCTTTCTCCACACTTTATGTATTTTGTGCCAGTTTACATTTCTTTGTGTTGTGGATCTATCAACAATTATTGAAGCTATTTTTAAAGTACTGTTGTCTTTTGATTTTTATTCTTGAGCCAAATGTGATGTATATACCACCATTACAGTATAAGAACATTCTAGATTTTACTATATACTTACCTTTATCACTAAGTTTTATATTTTCATAAGTTTTTATGTCACTAATTTGCATTCCCTCATTTCAACTTGAATAACTACTTTTAGTATTTCTTGTAAGACAGGTCTAGTGATGATAAACTCTCTCAGTTTTTATTTGCCTGGGAAATATAACTTTAAGAAAGAAATTTAATTTTCATTTCTAAAGAACAATTTTGCCTCATAAAGTATTCTTATTGCATGTTTTTATCTCAACACTTTAAATATATCCTCCCTTTCTCTTCTGGCCTCCCAGGGTTCTTCTAAGAAATCACTAGCAGTCTTAAGGGGGGGTGTCACCTTGTATATGAAAAATTACTTATCTCTTGATGCTGTTAATATTCTCTGTTTGTCCATGACTGTTGACAATTGGATTATAATGATTTGTGTAGACTTCTTTAGTTTCTCCCTATTTGGAGATTTTTGCACTTCAAGAATCTGTATGTTTATTTTTGTACCCAGATTTGGGAACTTTTCTGACACTGTTTCTTTAAATCAAATTTCTCAATATTTTTCTTTCTCTGCTCCTTCTGAGACTTCCATATTGTATATTGACTTGCTTTATGATGTTCCATAACTCCTTTAGACTTTATTCTTTTTCATTTTTATTTTTTCCTTCTTACTGTTAAGTTCAAGTAGTCTGTCATCAAACTTGCTGATTATTTCTGTTGCTCAATCACGTCTACTGTTAAAGCTGTCTATTGAATGTTTCAGTTACTTTGCTGTATGCTTTAGCTCTAGAAGTTCTGTTTTATTGTTATGGTTTATATTTCTTTGTTAAACTTCTCATTTTGTTCATTTCTTGTTCTTCTGATTTCATTTAGTTGTGTATCTATGTTCTCTTATAATTCAGTGCACTCCTTGAAGATGATATTATAAATTCTTTTTCAGGCAGTTCACAGTACTCCATTTCTCTAGAATCAGCTACTAATGATTTATGTTTTCATTCAGTGGTATGTTTTTCTGATCCTCCTTGGCCCTTGGCACCTAGTGTTTGTGTCTACTGTTTTGAAGAAGTAATTACCTCTTTCAATGTTTACATACTGGCTTGGTCAGGGAAAACTCTTCACTAGCTAGTCTGTCCAGAGATTTGGGTGATCTGGCTCATTGTGACTATGGAAAGGCCTGTTGCCTGTGTCCATGGACAGACAGACCTGTTTCCTGTCTGTAAGCAGGCAACCTTGTTAAATGGGTCCATGTGTGCATGAACTCCTGGGTCACAGGGACTGGCCTCACATCAAGGTCCCCTGAAGCCAGTCTGGTGCCTGGGTTCATGGGTGTGGGCCTCATGCTTGGCTCTATAGAGGCCAACCTAGCACTGGAACAGACTTGGAGTCTGGGTTTATGGAAGCCAGGCTGGCACCACCCTCACTGAGACAGGCCCAGACCTTGGGTCCATGGGAGTGGCCTGGTGCTGGGGTAGTCCCTGCACCTTAGTTTGTTAAGGCTGCATTGATGTAGGCCTGGAGTCAAGATCTACAAGGGCCCACCTGGTGCTAAGGCAGGCCTCAAATTTTAGTCTTCATGCCTCAGCCTAGTGCCAAGAACTACTTATATGTCAAAATCTTGGTCCATAGGGATATGTCTGGTGCCAGGGTCCACAAGGGAAGGCCTGGAGGTTGAGTTTCTAGTGAAATTGAATACTCACTTCACTCTTTTATGGGAGAACTCCAAAGCAGAGGAAATCTCCATGCTTGGGTGAAAAGTGATTCAACTAGAATGAATACTTCTTCCTTCCCTGTTCAATGTGATTTTTTTTCTCATTTCTGTGCTCAGTCTGGGTGCTGTAAACTCTCACCTGGAGTCCAGAGCTCTCATGAAGTATTTTTATACATGGTGTTTGTTGATACTGGTATTTTTGTGGGGGAATGTTGGATGGAGCTTCCTTTTCTGGCATCTTGCTGGTGTCCTAGTTCAGTGTAACTTAACTATTTAAATGATGATTTTTCATATATATTTCATGTATATTTCAAAATAATCTTGGTATCTAAAGGACGTTATGTCA